GATCTATGACTACGGACGTATCTCTTCATAGCAGGAAATCAATAAAAATCCTTAATTTTTGACACAGTCTAGTCTACAGCAAAGTGTCTCACAAGGTCGTGAAATTTTACAACCATGCTTCTTAGTATGAATTTCATTTTCACCTTCCTTAGTGACAGGAAGCAGTATGTTTCCTTTCAAAGCATAATTATGGATCTCTTGTTTTTCTTCTTTGGTCCTGATTTCTACAACCTTCTTGAGAATTATAATCAATTCCTTCAAGGTATTATCTGCATGATGTATCATAACTACTTAATCTTCGACACTTACCTTGGTTTGGATGCGAGGTTAGAATATTTCCAGTTTAATTCTTATAATAAATAAAATTAGATTTTGATCTAACAGTTATGAAATAATAGATTTGAAATAATGCAATTCGAACTACATCTTCTTCATGGCGTAGTTTATGGGAATATAAAGTTTTTTTTCATAATTTTGTCAAACGATGTCTTTAGCAACGGTCTTTAAAATAAAACGAAAATCACTGATTTTGGTTTAATATCTAACTAAGCTTAAAATTTAAAAAAAAAACTTTATTTCAACCGATGACGTTTTTCTCATGAACAGTAAAATTTAGTTCACTAAGTCAATGGATTCTTCCATCGTTGCAGAAAACACTTTGCTCGCTGCTTCAAAGAATAGAAATGAATCACTGAAATATTAAACTCCATGTACCGAGACTATCCCTTCAATGCATCTGCGACTGCAAAATTTAGATTTTCATAAATAAAAAAAATAAAGATTACTGTGATTTACATCCGTTTTTAAAAGATTTCTAGTAAAATTTATTTATAATAAAAAACATTGGATTTTATCTAACGGTTATGAAATAATGGATTTAAAATTATATAATTCGAACCACCTTTTGTTTATGGCGTAGTTTATGGAAATATAATATTATTTTTCTTAGTTTTGTCAAACGATGGCTTTGCCAACGGCCTTTAAAATGAAACGAAAATCACTGATCTTGATTTAATATTTTTTTCCTAGCTTACAATTTTCATTTGAACTGATGACGTTCCTCTCTTGAACAATAGAATTTAGTTCATTAAGTCGATGGATTCTTTTATCGTTGCAGGAAATTCTTAATTGCGCCATTTTGTGATCTGCTTTAAAGATTAGAAGTGAATTTTAGAAGTATTAGTTCCAAGTATCGAAATCATTTCTTTAAAGCATCTGCGATAGCTTTAACTTCCAAGATCACTTTCGATATCAAAATAATCTCTATCGAAGCTTTTCAGTAAGTTTTGAATTTTTATAAATAAAAATAAAAACAAAAATTACTTTGCTTTACAAAGAGGTTTAAAACATTTTCAGTTTATTTTTTTATAATGAATTAAATTGGACTTGATCTAACAGTTATGGATTAATGGATTTAAAATAATGTAGCATGAACTACCTCTTTACATTGACGTTGTTTATAGCAAGAATATATTGACGAATATCTTGACAAAAATGTTATGTCTTTAGGGTAAAATGAATATCACTGATTATAATTTCAAAACATTATCCCAAACTATGAAACTTAATGAAACTTCATTTGATACAATAAAGTTTCTCTTCTTAACAATAAAACTTAATTCATTAAATCGATGAAGTCTTTTATCTACATAGAAAAGTCTTAAATGCGCCATTTTTCGATCAGCTTTAACGAATAGAAGTATATCTTAGAAGTATTAAGTTAAGCATCGAAACCATTTCTTTAATGCATTTGCGATAGTTTTAACTTTGACACTTGCTTTTTACATCAAAATAATCTCAAACGAAGTGTTTTACTAAGTTTTAAATTTATATGAGCAAACAAAATTCATACGTTGTTAAGAGATTTCTAATTCATTTTTTTTTTGTATATATATATATATGAAACAAGATTCTATTTAACAGTTAGAAAATAATAAATTTAAAATAATCTAATACAAACCACCGCTTTACCACTATGCAGTTCATGGCAATAAAATATTATATTTCTTAATTTTGTCAAACGATTTCCTTACCAAAGTTAAGCCTTTAAGATAAAATGGAAGTAACTGGTCTTAATTTGAAAGTTTATTCCAAGCTTATAGTTTGAAAAACGCTTCATTTGAATCGATGGCGTTTCTCGCGTGAGCAATAGAATTTAATTCGTTAAGTCTATGAAGTCTTTAATCGACATAGAAGCTCTTAAATGCGCCATTTTGTGATCTGCTTTAAAGAATAGAAATAAATCTTAGTTCGAGATCATTTCTTTAATGCATCTAAAATGGTTTTATTGACGCACGCCTTATACATCAAAATAATTTGAACTAAATGTTATTCTAAGTTTATAACTTTAAATATTGAAAAACGTATGCAACGTTTACCTTGATTTTCATCCAAATAAGAAGATTTGTTTTAGATAATAAATCAAAATAAATTTCAGAATGTATATATATATATATATATNCTTCCGGGAAAACCGGAAGAGTTGGCAGCTATATATATATATATATATATATATATAAGTATATATAGAGAGAGAATTAAAATCTTAAAAACATTTGTTTTCTCAATGTAGTACTATAAAGTCCTAGAGAAGGGGGGGAAATAATAAAAAAAACTGTATTAAACTATATTTGACCGTCTGGTAGCATGGTGGTGATTCGTGATCTAGAACAAAGCTGTCATACAAACTTACTTTCAGAATAACCGCTTTAAAAAGTTCTTTAAGATTAATTATCCAAGTTAATAAGCCTTCAACAATCAAGACGAGTTTGCATAATCGAAAATATAGCCATGTTTTCAAAATTAAGATTAATAATATTTGCAAATATTTCACTTAACTCTCTGAATGCAATAAGTAATAATTTAATTTTATCAATAACGAATGACATGGAACAACTTAGTATGTACAAAATAACATCGAAGTTTTCATTTAGATAAATCTTGCTTCACGAAATAATTTATTTTCTTTCCTTTATTGTAAATGCAGAATATAGTAGGATATGACTATAGCAATAAAGGCTCTGCGACGAATCTTATTATGAACCGTCAGCACTTCTTGGGACTTCTTAATGACTTAAAGTTGATGTGCTAATTGCTAAGAAACTACATAGAGCAACAAACAAATTTAATTATGTGTAGCAATCATTTGCTTGGGTAAGCATAAAATCGATAATTTACTGCATTCAGCGTCATTACAATTAGTACTAAGCTAGGGAAACAATTTCACTTGCTCGTGAGACTTTTACGAAATTAAGATACAATTTATTGTCCAAATCTAGAATTTTTGTTGTTAGAACAGGTATATAAAAGAAAACTTTCTTAAAAAATTAAACAAATAGTTTAAATTCTTTGGTCCAACCTATGAACTGAAATGTGCAGAGAGCAATATTAAACGGTACACCTTAGTAACTTTAACTTTTGATCAATTTATCAGGGTATAGCAATCTTAATGATTCAAGGAATTGATTTTAACCATAGTAATTATTTTTTTTTAATTCAAAGAACAAAATGATTCCTTGTGCACCACTGAAAAAGTACAACACGAGGCTTACAGACGTAAGTATAGTAGTCTTGTATGTAGGATTTTAAAACAGAAATACATAGTAAAAAGGCATGTAAAATTTAGAAAAGAAAAATAATAATAATAGGAAAAATGATTTTTAAAAATAAAAAAATAAGAAACATTCACAAAAAGGATGAGAAAAAAGAAAAATTAAAATAGTACACAAAACAAAGTGATTTATAAATTTGCATTAAATGCTAATTTGTTTGAGAAGATTATATATTAAGTTAGTAAATCCAGCAATGAAACGTGTTTCGCCTGAAAAAGCATGTCTGTTGCTTAAGGGATTTAGATTCTTAACTCATAAAGGGTAAGCTTGTATTTGAATAATATGGTCCCAATTGTTAAGACAGGAGAACAGTTGAAAATAAGGCTATATTAATATATTTTCAATTTTTACGTATTTCGCCATGTCACTGGAACTGTAAAAGAAAAATTAAGACATTTTATACAGAATTTTAAAAAAAAAATTCCCAAATTTAATGCAAAATCGGATAAATAATTTCTTATTTATAACTTATTTCTTATTAGTTCTTATTTATAATATATTTATTATTATTTCTTATTTATAATGTATTTATTTATAATATATCATATTATACTTATATATATTTATAATATATTATATTATACTTATATATCTTTATAATTTTCTTTTATCTAATTTAATAATGGTCAAAAATCTTTGGAATTGTAAAGTGTACCATGATTAACATAATTTTTTACTGAAGAAATTTAATTTACAAAATTTAAAATTTGAATGAAATTGGTCGAATGGTTCAAGAGAAATTGAGATCAAAAAATTAAATTTGTCAAGCAAACGCATGTTTATTTAGGAAAAAAATAAGATTTTGTGGCTGATATAATAATTTGCTTATAATACTTAACAAATTTAAAGATTTTGAACCATTAAGATTACATTTTACAACACGATAATTCGATTATTAGATCAGAAGTTGAGATGCTTCGGCCTATGTTTTGAGAAGTATGCAATACTAACAAATTTCGAAAAATAACAACATATAATTTGTCAATGGCAAAAAAATTACAGCCTTACCGTGAATGGCTTCCGCCTGCCATGACAAGCGATGATGTCATCTCCTTTATGCGGGTCTGTTGTTTTCATGACAAAACTCATGACAAATTTCATGACAAAATTTCATGACCAATAGTTTTCATGACAAAATTCATTCAAGCTCAGTGTGTTGATAGCAAAAATTATTTTTTTTCTAATATAGTCCCCTCAATTTCCTCAAAAATAAAATCAAACTAATTCGTGTTTGTTTTTTTTTTTAAACTAGTCTAGTTCTGAAAGGTAACATGTCATATTTGAAATAGTTACGTTTTAATATAACGTTTACAAAACGTAAAAAAATAAATTAAACTAAATGTAGATTTTTTTAAAATAAATGTAAGCAAAACTAAATAGATGAAGTGATACAAAGTTAAATGTTGTTTTTACTGCAAATATAACAGACATTTGTAATGAAACTAACAAAAAGGAGACAAAAAAGATAAAATACCAAAATAAAAAATAAAAATGAAAGGTAAGGAAACAAACAAATGTGACATCTATATATTTTTATAAAGCATTTCTCTTAATAACTCATTCAATTGAGTAAAAAATAAAAGACATTTATGACGTTTTAATCAATTCGGGATTAACGGACTTATTGCCACAAAAATACAACTTAAAAAATACGCTTTAATGCTTAACTGCTTTAAGGCTTTGAAATATCAAACAATTTTTCAAAACTGCATTTTTTTTGTATTTTTATCAAATGAATAGCGGACGATTTTATACAAATATTTAAATATTATAAATTTTAATTAACAATAGTTTTTCCTCAGAGTTGAAACGAACAAACTAATAGTTCTTTTTAATTTAAAAAGAAAAATTAATTTTTGAATTTGACACAGTTTAGAAACTATTGTTTAAAAATGGTATCTCTTTTAAAAACTATTAATATTTCATTGAATATCAATATTTTACAGTAAAAAATAATCCTTTTTTTTAAAGCGATTTTTTAAAGGGCGAAATTTTAAAACGTTTCTCTAACTTGTATTTATAATACACCAAGTCATGTCAAAATATCCAAATCAGTTTTAGCTTTTTTTTTTAATAAAATAAAAAAAAGAGAAATTACGCTTTAGTAGTTGTACTAAAAGAGTGATGAAAGATTGTAAATTCTGATAATCGAATTTGACACACTTTTAGTTTATATTAACTGATAGCTTATCATATGAAAAATTTTGTGCATTTTTATCAATTTAAAAAAAATCATAGTGCGAATAAATAATAATTTAAATATACCCAGAATTAAACATTCAAATATTAATCAAATAACTAGCATATAAAGTTAGAAAAGTTAGACTACATGAAGGTGATGTTATGACAGCGAATTCTATTCAACTTCATTGACTTTTGACAGCGAATTCTATTCTATTTCAAAACACCAGGTTATTTTTCACAAAATTTAAACAGCGTTGCCTCAGAAGTGAAATTTCGTAACTGTATGCAGCTAGATACAGTTTAATTGCCAAGCCACTAGTCAGTTCTGGCAACTTAGCTGTATATAAATATTTAAGCAGAATCTGCAATACATTCGGATCTACATCAGTTATGTTTCGAACCATCGACTCTGTACTCTCGGTATTTAGAAACTTCGGAGCTCGCGCAAACAAAACGATTTTGTGAACCTTAATCAGTTCAGTCCCCGCTGCCAATGTAAAATCCGAATATTCTTTAGTGGTATATAGTTGTTCCAAATCCAAGCTTAGTTGACGTCTATCTTCAATATCGAAATTCATGTCAGGAAAAGAATCTCCAGTATAAGCGCTGCCTTCGATGTTGAAATCTGCCTTGCAGATAGTCAGGTCAAACACAAACGTCAGAGTATCTTTTGGAAGAAATACTTCCTCCTCTAAATCTAGGTCAATCTTGCGAATTCTGTACACCCACGTCGATATCTCTGAATGCAACTTCGACTTATCCACCTGGAATCGATATTCCTGAGAGTTGCTCAATTCACCGAAAATATCCAATATGGAGGTTTTTGTTTTGACAAAATACACATTCGAAGAATTATCAAAGCAGTACCTGAGGGCAACGTTGAAATAAATGTCTTCCTCAGAACCTTCCGCAAGTTTGACGACTTCCAAATTCATTTCGGATTGGCAGACATTCTCACAGCTGGATTGAAACACTGGACTGAATTTCACATGTTTCGGTGATTGAAACTTCATAGAGCTTATATTTTCCACAGACCATGTGAATGAAGTTTGGCTGCAAGACTGGCGTGTATCCAGTTTGATTTGATTAGGATACACGCTAAACTTCCTTTTCATGCTATCTAACTTGAGCTTATCGACTACTTTTAGCAATCCAGAAGGCAACTGGAAATTTGGTGTATCCAGCTTCACACAATAGATGTATTTCATGAGAAGCTTAAATACCGGAGAAGAAATGTTGGTAACATGGTTTATATTTAACGTGTCAGTATTCAAAGCTGACTCCTTCAGCAAATTCGGTGCTCTCGCTGACAAAATGGCTCTGTGAACATTAAATGAGGAATCTCCCACTTGCAGCTTGATGTCAGAAAACTCTTCACGATCATTTAGCTTCCTTATGTCCCTAGAAAGCTTCAACAACTCTAACGCATCGGAATCATTGTTTCCAGACTGAATTACAGCTTCTCCAAAAAACATGTGACATTTAAGTGACAAATGTCTGTTCAGTCTATTTGATTTGAAGGAAGGAGAAAGTTGTTCTGACGTACTGATAACATATGCATTTTTTTCGGCTTGGATTGACGTAAAAAATTCCAGTTCATGCTCGTTTGTGTCACTTAAATTTATGTCGATTTCGCTTAATTTAAGCTTAAGATCTTCACTTTTCTGAACGGTAACTACAATATGTTTCGGCTCCTCAATTGCCAATGTGAAGTAAATGCTATGGAAGGCACTTATTGACAGATGGGGACTCTCAATCGAGCTACAGTTTTCGAAAAAACTAAAAAATCTTTCGATTTTCCACTCGAAATTGAAATCAATAACCTTAAATTCGTTCTGAGCCATATTCAAATATATTATAAAACTACTAGAGATCACGGTCCCTTGGAAACAAAAACACCCATCAAGAAGATATCATACCTAGACAAATCGCAATCAATTTTAGAGTGCCTTATCTTTTGTTTGTTATCAGTTATTCTTTCAATAGCTGTCAGTATTGTAGAAGTAAAACGAAACTTGATTGTTTGAACCCTGAAACATTATTGATAATATGCAGATAGAAAAGAATTAAAATATTGAGATTAAACATCCCATCAAAATAAACTTTATCTGCACTGTTAGAAATGTTTCAGAAAAAAAAGGTTGAATAACAATTTATTTAATAGCTATTTAACCGCAGTCGAATAACTATGAAAAAAATGGTATTCTAACTATCAACTGTGAGAAAACCGCTAATTAACTACTTTTACCTAATACCTTTAAACAACCAGAATTTTATCACGCCAGCCAGAATCACGTTATGAAGTCATTTAGTTCTTTACAAATGGGTGCATAGCTGAAAGAGAAAATGCGTTAATTTTATGACTGACCGAACGGGGGTTCGATTCCCAGCAAAGACACAACGATTTCCTCACTCCCTTCAACATATGAAGAGTTTCAAATTTCCTGCTCTCCCCAATTTATGACCCTGGTCTGTTAGCACACGAGACACTCTTCCACGCATAGATGGCAGCACCATAAGGCTACTAAACTATCTCTAATGTCCAGTCGAAGTTCTTTTTTACTGTTTTGAAACCATGTTAATTGTATGTGGTTGAGAAACCGTATTGTTTTGTATCCATGGTTTTTTCTAACGTACTAGTTGTAAACGGTTTCACAACCTTAAAAGTAAAAAAAATGTTCGTTACCGTAAACTTTACATTTAATTGGATGGACAGGCTGTCGTCGGTTATTTTACCATAATTTTATAATGAAATTTCCAAGAGTGATCTGTAATTTAAAAGCACCCCAAGGACACAATTGGTTTCGAATATTTCAGGAAGTGTTCGATAATTTTTATATTTAAATTTGTTTGACACAATTATGCATGAAAAATTCAAAAATTTTGAAAAGATTAAAAAAATTAGAAATAAATTAGAACGTTTTACCTTTTGTTTACTACTTAGATATGTTCTGTTAATTTATTACCTAATAAAAATTAGCTGATTTTGTCTTATAACATAAAATACATTTTAATAGATTATTTTCATTTAAATCATGAAAGTTAAAATAGATATCTCCATTTAAAATGCATTCTCTGGAAATTATGATTAGCCAGCAATTAGTACTCCATTTTAAAATCATCAATGTTATTATTAATTATTAGTAGTTAGTCTTTTCAATTAAAATGTCTAAGTGGACAAAAGGTTAATTTATATTATTTAACCGTAATTGTTATTAAAATCATGCAACATTAACAACAACGCGTACGTACAAACGATACCAATACATTTCGTTGATAAGATGTATATTTTAATATTACATAACATGTTTCCGCATAAATGAATACAAAATGAACTTTTTACATAAATGTATACTGCAGAAATAAATGTATTTGTTCAGGAACCTAAGTAATTATTACCATAAACAGTTTCATTCAATTTAATTTGTATTTCTCCTATCAAAAAAGGATTATTTTGTTTTACATTAAAAACCACATTCTGAAAATTAAAAAAATTAAACAGGAAAAGAAAAAAAATAAACTAAAAAAATAATAAAATACAAAGTCAGTTTCTCTTAAAGATAGTTGTTTTAATTCTGTAATGCTATTTAACCTTTTATTGCACCTTTTTATTGCTAGTAATATTAAGTTAAAGCATTTTAAAGATTGAGATTAATTTGTAGAAAGAAATTAATTTATTACCTAAAGTTAATTCGATTTTTAAGATCCTTCTTTTTCGGTGGGAGGGTGGATGGGATTTTCAAAATTTTACGTATCGCAAAAAATTGGTCTTGAACTTGAATTTCTGTACTAATAAGTACGCAAATTTATAAACTCTGTGTTTGTACACTCAAACTCGATTACAGTTTATAAAATAAAATAATACATAACCCAAATAACTGTTAAGGATTTTTTTCCTATCTTTTTTTCCTTTTTTTCATTGACTTCAAACATTTTTCGTATAGTCTATCCTATAGTGGACACCATGTTAAACGTTTCCTCGAAATTCAAAACTCCAGGTCTTGAAAATGTGCCAATATGGTTACTCAAATTCGTTTTTTGACAAATTGGAAATTTTTTGTGTCTTCCATACGAGTATAAAATTTGATATGTTTTTAGGTCAAAAACGCAATCTTAAAAATATTTTCTTTTGAAAAGGCATATGCAAAACGATTTTTAATTTATAAATTAAAGAACTTTAAAGCTCACAATGTAAAAGAACAATAACTAGTAAATGTACCTGCGATACAGTAGTAAATGTACCTAAAATACAATAGTAAATGTACCTGATTTACAGTAGTAAATGTACCTAAAATATCGTATTTAGGTCCCCTAGAATCTAAAAAAAAAATCCAACCAGGAATATATATACTAATCTAACATAAAGATTGATTTGAAAATTCAGAATGTGCGGAGGACTCGTTAGTGAAAATTAAATTTCGCATTTCTGAACTTAAGAACTAAATTTTTGTTTTCGTGATGTAGTTTATTACCTAATAACTTGTAAGCATTTCATTTTTTATCAATATAACTCTTAATACTGCCATATCACATGGAAGAAAGATTTAGAAATCTGTTATCCTATTTTATTTATTTTTTTTTCCATTTTTTTCTGGCGTTGATATTCATATCTTTTGAAGCACTGTTTTCTCAGAATAGCAAAGGAAAATGTATTGAGAAAAAGTACTCATATCTTTGCTAAGCAAACACAATTCTCATTTTCCATTATAAGTGGGAAGTTCAGCATATGTAATCAATGATAACATTGTCAACATAAACGTGCCATCGATATTTCTTTATTTCTAATGTACTTAATTATTCCTAAAATACGATAAAAAAATTAATTCACAACTCACCAGAAAAAGGAAAAAAAAATTAATTTAGCTTTCAAAAGTAACCTATTACTTAATTCTCAAATTCTCTCATATACATATATTCTCATATATTTTAATTATTCCTAAAATACGATAAAAAGAAACAATTATTTCACAGTTCAACAGAAAAAAAAGAAAACTGATTTATTTTTCGAAATTAGCTTAGATACTTGATTCTCTTATATATGTAACTTCTTATGAACGTATTTATTCATAAAAACGATAAAAGAAATTTTGTTACTTCCCAATTCACCAGAAGAAAAAAAAAAAAAGAAAATTGATTTATTTTTTAAAAATAGCTTATAATAAATAATTCTCAAATTCTTTCATATACATAACTTCTCCTATACAAAATTGTTCATAAACTACGATAAGAAACTTCAAGTACTTCTCAATTCACCAGAGGAAAAAAAAGAAAATTACTTATTTTTCAAAAGTAACTTATATACTTAATTCTTAAATTCTCTCATCTTACAAAACTCTTTATATACTAAATTATTTCTGAAATGCGATTAAAAATATTCAATTACTTCACAATTCACCAGGGAAAAAAAAGAAAATTGACTTATTTATTAAAAGTAACTTATTTATTAATTCTCATATACTCTCATATACGTAACTTCTCATACTTATTTATTCCTAAAATACGATTAAAAAAAATTCCATTACTTCACAATACACAACAAAAAAAAAACTAAAAAAGAAATTTAGATAACCCACTAAAGTTAGTTGTGTTGCCATATTTGTTAAACGCAAAAGAAATCTCCCCTCAAATTAAAATGAAAATTTAAAAAATCCACTAAAAATACGTGACAGTTTAGTAGTTTCGAAAAAACTTCTTCAAATTAAAATAGGAATTTAGAAAATCCAGACAAGCTGCGTCTCCGTGTTAGTTAAAAAAAAATCTTCCTCAAACTAAAATGGGAATTTAGAAAATCCACTTCAGTCGCGTTGTAGCATTTAATTAAAAGCAAAAAGTCTCCGCAAATTTAAAAGAGATTTAGAAAATTCACTAAAGTTTCGTTCTATTAGTTAAATGACAAACAAAAAAACTTTTATTAGAACAGGGATTCAGAAGACTTGTTGTGGTAGTTAAAAAAAAAAAAAAAAAAAAAAAAAAAAAAAAAAAACAGTCAAATGAAAAATTTTCGCAAAACTAAAAAGTCAATTTAAGAAAATCCACGTGCCCAAAATACAATCCACTGCAATTGTGTTGACGTGTTAGTTAAAGAAAAAAAAATTTTCGTAAAACTAAAAAGTCAATTTAGGAAAATTCACGTGCCCTAAATACCATCCACTGCAGTTGTGTTGACGTGATAGCTAAAAAAAAAATTTTAAAAAAAAAGCACAGTCAAATGAAAAATTTTCGTAAAACTAAAAAGTCAATTTAGGAAAATCCACGTGCCCTAAATACAACCCACTGCAGTTGTGTTGACGTGTTAGCTAAAAAAAGAAAAAAGAAAGAAAAGAAAAGCACAGTCAAATGAAAAATTTTTGTAAAACTAAAAAGTCAATTTAGGAAAATCCACGTGCCCTAAATACAATCCAATGCAGTTGTGTTGACGTGTTAGCTAAAAAAAGAGNACAGACCATGTGAATGAAGTTTGGCTGCAAGACTGGCGTGTATCCAGTTTGATTTGATTAGGATACACGCTAAACTTCCTTTTCATGCTATCTAACTTGAGCTTATCGACTACTTTTAGCAATCCAGAAGGCAACTGGAAATTTGGTGTATCCAGCTTCACACAATAGATGTATTTCATGAGAAGCTTAAATACCGGAGAAGAAATGTTGGTAACATGGTTTATGTTTAGCACGTCAGTAATCAAAACTGACTCCTTTAGCAAATTCGGTGCTCTCGCTGACAAAATGGCTCTGTGAACATTAAATGTAGAATCTCCCACTTGCAGCTTGATGTCAGAAAACTCTTCACAATCATTAAGCTTCCTTATGTCACGAGAAAGCTTCAACAACTCTAGCGCATCGGAATCATTATTGTCAGACTGAATTACAGCTTCTCCAAAAAACATGTGACATTTAACTGACAAATGTCTGTTCTGTCTATTTGATTTGAAGGAAGGAGAAAGTTGTTTTGACGTACTGATAACATATGCATTTTTTTCAGCTTGGATTGACGTAAAAAATTCCAGTTCATGTTCGTTTGTGTCACTTAAATTTATGTCAATTTCACTCAGTTTAAGTTTAAGATCTTCACTTTTCTGAACGGTTACTACAATATGTTTTGGCTCCTCAATTGCCAGTGTGAAGTAAATGCTATGGAACGCGCTTATTGATAGATGGGGACTCTCAATCGAGTTACAGTTTTCGAAAAAACTAAAAAATCTTTCGATTTTCCATTCAAAATTGAAATCAATAACCTTAAATTCGTTCTGAGCCATATTCAAATATATTATAAAACTACTACAGATCACGGTCTCTCGGAAACAAAAACACCCATCAAGAAAATATCATACCTAGACAAATCGTAATCAATTTTCGAGTGCCTTATCTTTTGTTTTTTATCAGTTATTCTTTCAATAACTGTCAGTATTGTAGAAGTAAAACGAAACTTGATTGTTTGAACCCTGAAACATTATTGATAATATGCAGATAGAAAAGAATTAAAATATTGAGACTAAACATCCCATCAAAATAAAATTTATCTGCACTGTTAGAAATGTTTCAGAAAAAAAGGTTGAATAACAATTTATTTAATAGTTATTTAACCACATTCAAACAAAGCAGTCAAATAACTATAAAAAAATATGGCATTCTAACTACCAACTGTGAGAAAACCGTTAATTAACTACTTTTACCTAATTCCTTTAAACAACCAGAATTTTATAACACCAACCAGAATCATCTTATGAAGCCACTTAGTTCCTTACAAATGGGTGCATAGCTGAAAATGTGTTAATTTCATGACCGACCGAACGGGGTTTCGATTCCCAGCATTGACGAAGCAACGTTTTCCTCATTCCCTTCAACATATGAAGAGTTTCAAATTTCCTGCTCTCCCCAGTTTATAAGCCTGGACTGTTAGCACACGAGACTCTCCTCCACGCATAGATGGCAGCACCATAAAGCTGCTAAACTATCTCTAATGTCCAGTCGAAGTTCTTTTTTTGCAGTTTCGAAACCATGTTAATTGTAAATGGTTAAAAAACCGTATTGTTTTGTATCCATGCTTTATTTTAATATACTAGTTGTAAACGGTTTCACAACCATAAAAGTAAAAAAATGTTCATTACCGTAAACTGTACATTTAATTGGATAAGCAGACTGTTGTCAGTTATTTTACCATAATTTTATAATGTAAATTCCAACATTGTGTAATCTGTAACTTTAAAGCATCCCAAAGACTCAATTGGCTTAGAAAATTTTAAAAAATGGTCGATAATTTTTACATTTAAATTTGCTTGATACAATTATTCAAGAAAAATTAAAAGATTTTGGAAAGATAAAAAAAAAAAAAATTAAAATAAATTATAACGTTTTACCTCTTGTTTATCACAAAAATATGTTATGTTCTATTATATCTATTTTACATCTATTTTATTTACTAATAAAAATAGCTTATTTTGTCCTATAACATTTCAGACGATTATTTTCATTTACATTATAAAAGTTAAAATAGATCTCACTATTTAAAATGCATCACCGGAAATTTTTATTAGCCAGCAGTTAGTACTCTATTTTAAAATCATCAATGTCATTATTAATTATTACTAGCTAGTCTTTTCAATCAAAATGTCTAAGTGGGCAAAAGGTTAATTTATATTACTTAACCATAATTGTTAATTGTTATTAAAATCATGCAACATTAACAACAACGCGTACATACAAACGATACCAATACATTTCGTTGATAAGAAGTATATTTTAATATTACATAAAATGTTTTGGCCCAAATGTATACAACAGGAACTTTTGACATAAATGTATACAGCAGAAATAAATGCATTTGTTCAGGAACCTAAGTAATTATAAGTTACTACCAAAGTAATAAACAATTTCATTCAATTTAATTTGGATTTCTCACATCAAAAAAGAATTATTTTGTTTATTAAAAACCAAAATCTGAAAATTATTCCAAAAAAAAAAACATTAGTTTCTCTTAAACCTTTAATAAGTTAATAATTAATTTTAATAATTCTACGAATAAGTATTTGGACACCTCTGCAAATGACTATATCTGCTGTCCTTAAGTACGTCACGCCCTCCACCGGTATATATCGTGTAGGGAACAACATCGGCATTAGTCCCATGCAAGATGCCTACTGCACTATTTTGGATGACAATGTGCTTCCTACGTTGTGGCAGTTTTACAGGTTGGACCCCTGTTACTTCCAGGACGCAATGCCAGCTGTCACGTTGCGAGGGTCACCAAGGCTTGATATGGTGCCAATAGGGTTAATCAAATGGACTGGGCTGCCCAGAGTCCAGACCTGAGCCCTATCGAGAACCTCTGGGAAGAGTTGGATTGCCGAATTAAGGGGTGTACTACTCGTCCAAAATCGGTAAAGGAACTTTCATGTCTTCTCCAAGCCGAGTGGAAGAAAATACCACCAGCCGTCATGCAAGGACTTGTGGAAAGTATGCCCCGGAGGGTTCACGCCGCAATTGCATATCGTGTAGGCTCTGTTAACTATTGATTATGAATAAAGTTTGTTTTTCTTTTTCAATCACACGTGTCCAAATACTTATTGGTAAATAGTGTAGTTGTTTTAATTCTCTGATACTATTTAACCTTTCAATGGACCTTTTTATTGATAGTAATATTAAGTTAATTCGATTTTTAAGATCCTTCTTTCTCGACGGGAAGGTGGATGGGATTTTCAAAATTTTGCATATTGTAAAAAATTGGTTTTAAACTTGATTTTCTGAGCTTATAAGCAACTAAATTTATAAATTCTGTGTTTATACACTCAAACTCGATTAGAGTTTATAAAATAAAATAATACAAAACATAAATGACTGTTAAGGATTTTTTCCTTTTTTTCATTAATTTCAAATCATTTTTCTTGCAGTCTATCTTATAGTGGACACCATGTTAAACGTTTTCTTGAAATTCAGAGCTCCGCGTCTTTAAAAATTTTCCAATATGGTTACTCAAATTCATTTTTTGACAAATTGAAAATTTTTTGGGTCTCCCATACTGTTATAAAATTTCATATGTTTTTAGGTCAAAAACGCGATCCAAAAAATATTTTCTTTCAAAGAAAGCACACGTAAAACAATTTTTATTTTATAAATTAAAAAAAAATTAAAACTCATAATGTAAAAAAACAGTAACTAGTAAATGTACCTGAAATATGGTATTTAGGTCCCCTAGAATCTAAAAAAAAATCTAACCAGGATTATGTATACTAATCTAGCATAAAGAGTGAGTTGAAAATTCAGAATGTGCTGCGGACTCGTTAGTGAAAATTAAATTTCACAATTCTGAACTTGAAAACTAAATTTTTGTTTTCGTGATGTAGTCTATTACCTAATAACTTGTAAGCATTTCATTTCTTATCAATATAACTCTTGATACTGCCATATCACATGGAAGAAAGATTTAAAAAATCTATTATCATATTATTTTTTTTATTTTTTATTTTGAACTCATTTTTTTCTGGTGTTGATATTCATATCTTCTGAAACACTGTTTTCTCAGAATAGCAATGGAAAATGTATTGAGAAAAAGTACTCATATCTTCGCTAAACAAACACAATTCTCATTTTCCATTATAAGTGGGAAGTTCACCATAAGTAATCGATGATAACATTGTCAATATAAACGTGCCATCGATATTTCCTTATCTCTCATGTACTTAATTATTCCTAAAATACGATGAAAAAATTAATTCACAACTCACCAGAAAAAAAAAAGAAAATAGACTTAGTTTTCAAAAGTAACTTAATTACTTAATTCTCAAATACTCTCATATACATATCATCTCATGTACTTAATTATTCCTAAAATACGATTAAAAGAAACAATTATTTCACAATTCACCAGGAAAAAAAAGAACACTGATTTATTTTTCTAAATTAGATGAAATACTTAATTCTCAACATGTCTTATATACATAACTTCTCACGTACTTAATTATTCATAAAAAAGATAAAACAAAACTCAATTACTTCACAATTCACCAGAAGAAAAAAAATGAAAATTGATTTATTTTTCAAAAATAGCTAAAAATAAATAATTCTCAAATTCTTTCAACTTTCAAAACTCTTCATATAATAAATTATTCCTGAAAATACGATTTAAAAAAAATCAATTACTTCACAATTCACCAGGGAAAAAAAGAAAATTGGCTTATTTCTTGAAAGTAACTTATATACTTAATTCTCATATACTTTCATATACGTAACTTCTCATATTTACTTATTCCTAAAATACGATTTAAAAAATTCTATTACTTCACAATACACCAAAAAGAAACTAAAAAAGGAATTTAGATAATCCAAAGTTAGTTACGTTGTCAAGTTTGTAAAACGCAAAAATTCTCTTCAAATTTAAATCAGAATTTTAAAAAACCACTAAAAATACGTGACAGTTTAGTAGTTTAAAGAGAAATTCTTCCTCAAATTAAAATAGGAATTTAGAAAATCCACTAAAGCTGCGTCGCCATGCTAGTTACAATAAAACTTCCTCAAACTAAAATGGGAATTTAGAAAATCTACTTTAATCGCGTTGTAGTGTTCAATTAAACGCAAAAAAATTTCAGTCAAATTTCAAAGGGATTTAGAAAATTCACTAAGGTTGCGTTGTTCTATTAGTAAAGCGGCAAAAAAAAAATTCTGGAGCAGGGATTTAGAAGACTTGCTGTGCTAGTTAAATGCAAAAAAAGAAAAAAAATGCACAGTCAAATGAAAAATTTTCGTGAAACTAAAAAGTCAATTTAGGAAAATCCACGTGCCCTAAATACAATCCACTAAAATTGTGTTGACGTGTTAGTTAAAAAAAAGAGAAAAAAAGAAGAAGAAGAAGAAAACTCGTCTTCAAAAAGAAAAAGAAATGTAAAATCCATCGAAATCTTTTTGTTTTAAAGCAATACCGTGTGTGAAATGGCAAAATTGAATCAACAGATGAAATTTTTATTATCCTTTTCAAATAAACAACATTTTGATTTTACCCCCCTTTAAAAGAGTTATCATTGCATCAGCTTTTATTATGCTTTAACATTGTATGGAAAATGGCAAAAATTGCATCTTTGTAATTTGTAAAAAAAAAAAAAAAAAAAAAAAAAAAACATCGCAATTGTAGATAACTCTTTTAGGCCAGAGTGAATTTTAAAAATTTTTTTGCCCTTATGTGCCCACACATCAGAGTACGATAATTAGTTTAATGATAAATTAATTCATTTTAAGAGATAGGGGATGCACTTGGTTTATAGAGAGAATATGCAGGCGGGCGTTTACTTTTTGTGTCTACAGCTGTTCTAATATAACTTTTAAGAATCGCGCGTATTGCATTTCTTCACTTTCCTT